TGCACATCACGTGACCACGGGACCCCTTAACACCGCTACTCGCATCTGTACAATTGGGGCCAGCCAGACAGCATTCAGCTGTCCTAGTTCGACTCGTGATCACCTTACACGGTATATCACGTGATCATGATAATGACTTGGACCAATAAGGTTGTTGCGCGTGGGCGGACAGTAGACAAGTTATGCTAACAGCTACTGCGTGGGTTGTACTTACCTATTCAAGCAAAGCATTACCCCTTCCGTCTGATTGGATAGTATTCATCATACGTTCCTCTGATTGGTTTTGTGCTAGATGGGATAATGGTATAATAATTGGTGTCGGACAATTGACGGACGAAACTCGTCGGTTCGGTGAGTGGCTGTTCTCTCGTCCGGCTTAGGTTTGGTGCTCCGAGTCTCCTCGTGCTAACTGTTTCTTCCCTTTCTCTCCGCAGTTTTGCCGTCCGCACTTCCATCATGCCCAGGTAAGCGACGTCTATGTACTTGAATGTTCCGTTTCTTCATTTGATTCGCTATGTTCTCTAATCCACAAGACGTTCTATTTGTAGCGTTGACGAAGTCAGAAAGGTTCTTCACGCTCTCGATCGCAACGGCGACGGGAAGATTTCCGCCGATGAACTGAAGGCTTTCGCAGATGACGCGAACTGTCCTTTGGATGTCACAACGATCAAGAAATTCATTGCCGAACACGACAAGGACCAGGACGGCAAGCTGAATCTGAACGAGCTGGTTTCCATATTGTCAAATTGATTTGCACCTGATGTAAATTGACAATCGCATTTCGCACCTTTGTATTTTCGTTGACCTACATGGGAATTGGGTGTTACTTGCGCCGTCGGTTAGTTGGTTGAAGCTGGGGCAAACCCTAATCTCCTTCGGGGGTCGTTTCGTAATTAATGATGAGGAACTGGGTCGGCGTGTTTGCTGCATTGCACCCTAGATACCAAGTATTTGGTCCTTTGGGTCTCACGCTGAAGTACCCCGAGCGGTTCGGCGTTTCTCGTGGGGAAGATGCTGGAGCTGTTGCTATTATCCGGTTGTAGGACCATTCGTGCCGCGGTCAGTCACTGGGTCGCGTAAGTTGCACTCGACCAGACGATGGTGAAAAGTAGGAGTCTGGCCTGGGTTGGAGCGACGATGCATCTTTGAGTGGCGCAGGAGGATATTCGAATTGGTGGTTTGCGTAGTGTAGTGTAGTTTCTGAGGTGGTTGTTGGCTCGGCGAAGCACTTCACCTGCGGTATATGATGGTTTTAGAACTGGGTGAGTTGCCCAAATCTCTTTGGATCTCAACACAGGCGAAAGAGGTCTACAAAAATAAGTCGGCGGTTGGGCGCCGATGCTGAGACCCAACAGGCCTATGGATTGGATCAGAATGTAAAGAAATTGTTTATCGGGAGACATTCGGGATACGGCACTTATAATACCTATAATGGCCTTCGTCACCGGCGTGCTTTGGGCCCTGTGGTCTTAAGCCCCACCACCCAACTATGGTGGTGGGCATCTCTGCCTTCGTCTTATTCAGTACCACGCCTCACCTACCGGTGCCCTATTTGGTTCGCCACACCAAGTTCCGAACCTTAGTTCGCCGGTTTCCACCACCAAGCAGCACGTCCTTGTGAGTGTGGCGTTCGCACCGTACGCAGTTCACTGATGGTGAGTTTCGGCCACGGGTCTGCACTCCGTCGTGAAGACAAACTTCGGTCGTCAGCGTTGTCAATATCACGTTTTTTTATTCGGGTTGTGGTTAGTGCCGTCTCGGCATCTTGGCTACATCTATAGCGTGCTGGAAGACCAATGCTGCACTTCGACTTAGGTCGTTATCCTTGATCTCCCTANCTATACTGCGCTTAGTCATAATGGTATTTCTCTGTTGGAAGGTGTGTGGAGGTGTGACATTTACGTGCTACGTGTCATTAGCGTTTGGTCATTCAGGTTGCTGTTTCCTATCAGAAGTAGAATTCTGAATGCTACAACGTGGACCAGCCTCGCAATTTTCATTGACTTTGAGGGGCTGATATATACTGTTCGCTTTCCCACGGGTGAAGTTCATCAGCTATCGGGCATCGGACTGGTTGTGAAGCGGTTTTTGTCACCGTCAAAACGTCAGCTTGTTTGTACGTTCATGAATTTGTTTATAGCCGTGTGATCGCGGATCCTCAGTCTTCGCAGGATTAAACACACTAGTAGTTTTGACTTGCACTGTGCCAAAGATTGTCCGTTCACGGAGTAATGTGGTTGGGAGCCCAATCGTAATGAGCGTTGGTCGGGAGAACGGCTGTCAGGTGCAGAAATGGACGTCGTCGACTCAAGGTCTGAGGTAACATCTGGTGAAGCACGAGTGATTATCACTGAAACTCTTTTGCGCTTCTTATTGACCCATTTTGTGAAGTAGATAACAGTGCCAGCTTCATTTATCTAAGATCAAGTGTCTATTTGTGTCTTGACCTATTAGGACTCACTCTACCAATCCAAATGAATCGGTACATATGGTAGTTCATGACTGTTGGCCAATGGAAGGTAAAAAAGAGCATTCAAATAACGAGTGTTGTGAACTTGTAGCGACATCTATATCTATCTGTTTATCAGCTAATTAAAAGGGTCCCAATGAGAAACGTGTCATATCGCAATTAGTATCGTAATCGGTTAAGAATACATTTCCAGTTTGTTGGACTATGACGTCTGTAATTCTTATCTGATAGGATGTGCTCGTGAGATGACGCAGTGTCTTGTCTCCCCTGTGTAGCCCCACCTCTCCGTTGTGGTTCGCTCACGCAACTCTTGCCACTTTGCTGCACTCTGGTAAACTTCTCGATAAGCGGGTCCAACCAGATGGAGGTTAACCAGGTCCTGATGACCAAGCGCAACAGCTAATGACATGCGGTGGGAACTGCCGCAGAGGAAACTATTACCTGATTCAACGACCATAAAGGGAATCGGTCAAACTAGCAGGGTTGCAAAGATCCCTATTTGTCGAATGGCAACTAATCCAGCAAGCCCAACACATTGCTGCCTTGCTGTCCATAATAGCTATGTAAGAGCCAGCTCGCAACAGAAAGCAGTAAACTATCACGAAGAATTTGTGATAATATTTGCTACACACGCTCTGCTATAAATACTTTGCGTCCCCGGCAATCGACGCACTTTGCTATTCTGCTCTATGATTGGGATGTCAAAGCTGCGAACCTCCTCTGGATGTTGAAAGCCAGACAGTGACTATACACACATTGCACAATTACCACATATATTCCTTACTTGTCCGAAGCCCATTAAGCCGGCTCTCGTTATCGCTGTATCAAAGTTCCCAGCTACTTGGGAAACTCCCGTCACGGGTGAGTGCCGATAGCCTAAAATCACAGCACAAACAATACCGTTTATGATGTTTACTTTCATACTCATTAGGGAACTTTGGACATTACATTATTATTATAATTGTGGGTAATGGAGGATTCGGTTAAGTTTCAAATGACAATTCGTCGTGTAAATGGCAAATGAAGCGTGAACTGAAAAGCTCGGAAGCACTGGACAGCTGTTCGACCTGGTTGGGTCTCATCAGCAGTGCGAATCCATCGACCCGACTGGGGATGGAACCCGGGCACTTCATGGTCAGAAGCGTGAACTGAAAAGCTAGGAAGCACTGGACAGCTGTTTCGACCTGGTTGGGTCTCATCAGTACCTGGTTGGGTCTCATCAGCAGTGCGAATCCATCGACCCGACTGGGGATGGAACCCGGGCACTTCATGGGCAGTACAGCCAGTGCGAATCCATCGACCCGACTGGGGATGGAACCCGGGACTTCATGGGCAGAACGCACGCAGTGCGAATCCATCGACCGGACTGGGGATGGAACCCGGGACTTCATGGGCAGAACGCAAGCGTGCTACCCACTACACAACCGAGCAGCTGATCAGACCGTTTTTCATTTTCCACCCACACGATATAGCACAACCCATGTTTGAGAGTTTGTTGCGGGCCACGGACCCTGCTCAACTCAGCACTAGGCTCCAGGGTTATGACTCGGTTGGAAACATTCACAACCTGACTGATTATTATTATAATTATTGTTGATGCAAATTAAATTACAGTTTCTTTAAATTTAGACAATTTTTGCGGTGCGTTTGTGCACTGAATGTGATGAGAAACACTACTCGGATTAAAGTTAAACAATAACGTTTTTTCTGTTTCTTTTTTGTTATCTATACCTTTTTCAGTTTAAGATGTCCGAAATCCAATTTAAGATGTCATGTTGCTATATGGATAGTACCTTGCACAGTACAGAGTGAAAACATAGCAACATGACATCTTAGATTCATATTGTGACATCTTAAATTGGATTTCGGATATCTTAAACTGAAAAAGGTATAGTATACACAGTCATCTCATTGAAGCTAAATTCTTTCAACGATATAGCGCAAGATGAAGTCAGTTTCATCCAGGATACCGTTGTTTTCAAATCATCCATCGAATTTCTGCATTCGACCACTGATGTCTCCGAAGCATTGCTCGTGTCTGGTGGGAACACCGGATGAGTATCGACGAGGTTTGTCCTCGTGTGTTGGGTGTGGATAGTCGTTCGCTAACAGAAGTAATCGCTGTAAACCACAACCGATGGCTCGGTCATATTTTGCGTATGCCTGTCCATCAAACCCCTCGCCGCTCTCTCTTTGCACGTGCTGGGCAAGGTTGGAGGAGGCGCCGTGGCGACCAGACCATGACATAGTGCAGAGGCATGAAGAAGCTAGCTTCAGCTTCGACATCGGTTGATGCAGCCCGCCTTCCAGTTTGGGGCCCAAGGGATGAGGATTGCCGTTGGTTAGAGATGTTGAAATATATGGCTCAGAATAGAAGTCAGTGGCGCGAAAGCTGTACGGTCTGCCTGTCGAAATCCCGTGCCCCGTAAAAAATAACAAACAACACAAAAACATATCAAAAAGTGTACAGTGAAACACAAAACATTTCGTTATCCCATTTACCTAGCATTTTTTCGTGTTTTACCCTGTTTCCACTTTGTTCTGTATCCCAATCCACCTGCCCCCTAGTATTGTTATTGTTATTATTGTTGTGGCGTTCGCACCATACTTGTCTACAAGCCGG